GAACATAACTGGAATGCAGCCAGAATGTAACCAAAGAATATTTCACAAGGCACGACTATTTAAGCCGAAAGCGCAATTCTAAAGGATTAGGTAAAGCTACTAAAAATTCTTAACTAAATATTATCTAATACATTTCAGAAAGCTCGATTGGCTCTAACAGAATTCAACGTTTACAAGATTAATAACTTTCAAAACAACACAGGTAGATAACAGTTTAACAAGACTATCGCAGGTAGCAATTACAGTTGAACGCTTATTACAGTTATGATCCTACAACAAACTAGCAGGTGTCCATTACGGTCAATGAACTGGAACAGTAACCTGTAACTCAGAAATGCAAAACGAACTAAAACAAATATATCTATGTTGGACTTCTATATTTTCCGACAGCGAAAGCGAATATATAAAACGTACTTAATTATCTAATTCTCTCTCCTCACACATTATCACTGACAATTTATCTGTTCTTTCACTCTCTTAGATCAAAAGCGCATGACTGAACTGGTGTCTTATTTGGCACGACAGCGGGCTCACACTCCACAAGAGAAAGTCGATAATAAACAAAAACCCAAAGAAGTAAGATGTTCTGATGTTTCTCTCTCTTTTTTTTCTTTTGTTTTGTTTTTGTTCTAGTCTAGGTACCTTTTATTTGTTTTCATAAGTGATTGAGAGCCAATTAACACGTTTCTATATATTCGTGGTCATATCTTGTGCTCAGTTTATTTTGAGACTTTTAGTCGTGAGAGAAAATAATTTTCTCCGTGTCTCAATCTCAATTATGGAATCACTAGCCAAAGCATGGGAGAAGTCGAAAAAGTCGTGGAAAGGATCACCTGCGGTTTGTGGACTCGCAGCATTACTCGCTCTTCCAAATTTCCACTTGTGTTCTCGTAACTCGTTAGAGGCACGTATAAAATATTTTCTATTGCCTAATGTTTTTTTTTCCTTCTGTAGTTCCTAGGAGGTATTTTCTCCAAATTAGATAATCAATTCCGCGCCTCACAGCAAGCAGTGGTCTCTAAGACGCAGTCTGGCGGGCCACAAACAGGATCCAGGTAACACTTGATATAATGAACTGCACATTGACTTTCCTCAACTGTCGGACGAACAAGCACCATGCACTTTGCATTCGCTAAAATGAGAGCTTTCCAAGTCATTAGTCATTAGATTATGAGCTCGAGATTTCTATCGCGTGATAGTTGACGAGGACGCAGCCCAAGTCAACTATCACGCATAAAAATCTCGAGCTCATAATCTAATTGTTTTAGTATAAATGTACTCGTGGTTCCAAAACTTTAGCTAAATCCTCTTCTCGGACACTTCGAAAACGCAAAGAAGCGACCGCCAGTTTGTTAACCGGCAACCGCACACTGCTATGCTACTCACTATCTACAACAGTATACAGATAGTGAGTAGCAAAGCCAATCAGAGAACGGCATTCGTAATAGAACACCAACCTCGTTCCCAGGATCTCTCATCTTACCGCCCCCTCGCTCGCTCCAGGGGGCGGTAAGATGAGAGACCCTGGGAACGAGGTTGATAGAACACTATTAGATTTATACTATTATTTAGTATCACCCAACTAGTGGACTAATGCAAATCCTGCATTTTAATTGGTTACGCTACTAGAGGACTATTGACCCGTAGCCCGCAAGGGCTACGGGTCTAATTGTTCAATAGACCGAACTTTCTAAAAGGATTTTATAAGTTGACACGTTAGCTAGTTAACAGCCTGGGTTCAGTTGCGTCACAGTTTTTTTCGCTTCTCGTTCGCCGTTGAGGAGTATTTGAAGCTCATAGCGTAATAAATGTAGAGCGCTCCTTTATCCGCACTATGGCTTAACGCTGCCTCCAGTCATCTCCAGTCAGATGTTGTATTGCTTCTAATTTATGATATTCTTTCCCCTCACAGTCAAAGAATTCGGAAGATACCACTGAAGGTGACCACGTGATATTAAACAACCAAGTGCAATTTGAAGCTTGAACGATTTTATTTGTTTGTGATGGTTTTCAGTTTTATATTGAAGACCTTTTAACGCTCGTGTAAAAATACGTTGTATTCTTTATGAATGTGTACAATAAACGTCTTTTTTTGGTATTTCGTGGCATTTTTTTCTTTGAAATGCTGTATGCGGCTTGGCCCCGCCTTGGGCTCGTTTCACGAAGGTCCCGAAAGGATTCCGCACCCAGAAAGCCGTAGCAAAATCTCAAACCCTATAATTACAGAATTGTTTTATTCACATATTCTTAATATGAACAGAGGTTCCTTTCATACATGAAGCTTCAGGCGTATACACCTCCCTGTTTTTAGATACAGTTTAACTAAAAATGGCTTTTCGGGCTCGAAATTTTCCGGGGCTTTCGAGAAACGGGCCCTAGGAACGGGAATGTTTCATGTTAACTCTTGTCCTTAGGCCATCGTAGCTTGATTAAGAATATAACTCAAACAGTGGTATCACTCCCACGACCTCCCTCCCCCCTCTTTTGAAACACGAACGGCTTAGTTTTAAACTAGTGCTCAACGAGCGAAAATGAAATGGCGGTGTCTTCATCCCTTGAATATGGAAAAAATTTCTCCTCCTTTGAGCTTCTTTCCAATGTGAAACTCGTTAACATGACTTACACGACATTTTCAATTCGTTTATGTTTTTGTCATAAACACCACCTCCACCGACAGTTGAACTCTCCACCCGGAGTGATTGGGGGCTCTGGGTATGAGATCTTTGTGCAAAGTCACGTGACTTCACTGTATGCACGTGATGCACGCTGGAATTTCCCGCGAGGGTTTAAAAACATGGCGGACAATGAAGGTGACGAGAATTTCGTGGTGCAACAAACAGCAACGGTTCTCTTCAACGGTGAAACGTCCAAGAGTGAATTCTGCTACGACGAAAATACTCCTCTTAGTCCCGGAGAAGTTTGCATGATGAGAAATCACCCTAAAGTAGCCTCTGTACTGTTTTCTCCTTCCCGAACAACGCGAGGCGGTGAAGGAAAACTTAAACCAAAGTCTTTCTCGACGAACTTGTATGCGTCCCCCACAAGGAAAACGGTAGGCTCACTTGCGCTGCCAAATTCTGTTAACTTGTTATGCAATATAGTATGGCTTATGTGTTTCTTTCTGTGTGATTGAGAACTGCCTTGGACTCAAGTTATTTTGAATTTTTGACAGAAACCAAACGTTGTCGACAAGGAGAAGAGAAAGACCCTTCAAGTTCTTCAACCTACGGCAAGCGGAGATGGAACACTTGTTGGAAGCCGTGGCGTAGTAAGACGCCAGGAAATGGTAAGAAGCATTTGCAGTTGCAGCTAAAGAAAGATTGTTTTGGGGTTTGAAATCCGTAGGGCTGGACAAAATTAAAGAAAGTCGTGTTGACTTTTTGAAGAGTTATGGTTTTCAATATGCCAGGAATTTTTCCAAATCAAACTGAGCTTCTGCTTGCACGGTACGGTAATAAGTGGTGGAACATTGATTTTTTTAGCTTTTTAAAATAACCCTCCCTCTCCTGGGGTATGGTTTTTCAGCCGTTTTGGTCATAAATAGAGTATGTATTTGGCCATTTTGGTCTTAAATAGGGTATGGTTTTTGTCCTCTGGTCTTGAATTGGGTATGTTTTTAGAAGAAGCTACTTTTTCATCATTATCGATAAGACCATAATCAAAAGCCCTTCAAAAATTATGTTAAGGGCAACTGTGTCAGCTGCAATGGTCATAAATAGGGTATCAAATTTTTGGTCTGGTCATAAATAGGGTCAAGAGAAAATGAAAGGGTAGGGAAAATCACAGATTTTGATCATGAATAGGGTAAGGGTTTTGGGAAGTGGACCCCACACTGCCACCAAATTTTTCTGGGAGTATCCCCCTAAGGCTCCCTCCCAACTTCAATGTAATCCAGTGAGGTAGAGACACTATATAAAATTTGTTGAGAATGCCACATGTTCATGCTACATGTTTTTGTTACCTTTCTTAAGAAATCAAAGAAAAGCAAGTCACCTACCTTGAAACTCAAGCAACAGAAGCTCAAAATTCCTTCAACATCCAGTGGAAATTCTTCATCCACAACATGCACAGATTCCTCAGATTCAGATACAGCTTTAAGCTTAGCCAAAAAGGTACCATATACAAGAAATATACTTAGTACTGAATAATTATTAGACTAAGAGAAACCCCTCTTTCGCTCAGTCTGTTGAGTGTGACCTCAAGGAAAAACTGACCATGTGGCTCCCAGGATTTCACACGGCCTTTTTTATCATGCACAATGGACTATGTGAAAGAGAGACTACTCAAAGTCTGGTATTAAATTCAGTGTGTACTTGTATACATGTTAAACAGACAGTACAGTGACCTTGACATGTCTAATTTTTGTAGTGCTTTCTGCCTCTTGCCAAAAAGTTCTGATACTTTCTCATTTTGTGAAATCTGTTGTTGTTTTATTTAGAATACAAAATCATTGCAGAATGAGGTGATTGATGAAGCAGTAGCTTTAATGGTTTCAGGCAAGTGGCTTCCAAAAGTAACACCTTTATATTCATTGACTAAACTGTACAACATTCCTGAATTCAAATTCGTTTACAATAGCTACTACTGAGAGCTCTGAAAAATGAATTGTATGTCTTGCCTCAGGAGATGATTTTTCCAGCGTTTTTGCCACCATCATGGTGAAAAATGTTCTGCTGGTTGTTTTTCACTAGTTGCTGTCAATTTGAGTGATCTTTGTTTGTCAATTGATGAGATTTGACCTTCGGGGAGCAGGATAGGACATTCACATGACTTGTTTCTAGTCGCATTTGCACTGACTAGGTTTATTATTGCATAATTTATGCATTGAAAGTTATTAATACTAGATGTTTCACAAACATGGCAAGCTCAGGATTTTAGGTGTACCTTTCAAAATAAATTTTAAACTTGCTGCCCTTCCATTAATGTTTAAGTCACATGTACATGTAGAGCTGTGATTAATTATAGTTAACTGTGCCAAACTTCATTTTATTATAAAATTCTCCTGTATCTTCAGATCCACCACCAGAGAGATATTGGGAGCTACTGGCAGAGGAGAGGAGGCTGGCTTTGCAAGAGGCATTGGAGGAAAATGAGAAGGTTAGTTATAGTTATGTACCACAATAATTGTAGGGTTTGGGTTAGTGGGTAGCCTATGGGAGGTGCAGTGGCCTCATGGTTAACTTGCCTGACTCTAGATTGAGCAGTCCAGGTTTGAGCCCATGCTGAGGTCACTTTGTTGTGTTCTTGGGCAAGACACTTAACTCTCACACTGTCTCTGCCCCCCGCCCGCCTGGGTGTATAAATTGGTATCAGCAAATTTAATGCTGGGGAATGGGGTACATTTTTACCTTGGTTCATTGACAAACTTTGGTTCTTAACCACTTGTGCATATAGTAGTTTCACTTTGACTTGTTTTTATCATTATTTTATTTAGTTGCATAAGGAGTTGGAAGAGCTCCGAGAAAGAAACAAAACCCTGGAAGAAGTTGCTGGCCAAGCTGAGTACTTTGCCTCTCTTTATCAGGTATGTGTTTTGTGCACTAAGAAATAAATACACGTACATGATAAACATGGTTGCATTTGAAACAATGTACAATACCGTCCAACAGTTTACAGGGAGAGTCAATGAAATTGAACTTCTGACAAACAACTTTACATTCACCTGGCCTGGCCCTGGTTATGAACCTATTAGTCTGGTGCCCTTCTACTTAATTTTCTAACAGGGAAGTAAAATTTTATAGCATAAACTTACAGTTAAAAACATAATTTGTTCATCAAGACACCACCACAGTTTTAGTTAGTGACCTCATCTCATTGTGATGATACTCTTAAAATTCAGATGGTCATGGAAGGTGAAGTTCCTGACACAGAATCCAGTGATGCTGCTGAAGAGGAAAACGTGACAGCCAGGTAAGGCATGTGCAGCAGTACTATACAATCAATGGGATTTATCCCACTTGCCACCCTCCGAGAATTTCTGTTGTTATTTGCAACCCCTGAAACTGTTTACTTCAATCTGCTGTGCCTTGCATGCAAGATTTTATAAGATTTGTCTCCAGAACAGCTTCTGTTACAGACCAGACTCTTGGAATGACAGAAAAGATGTGTTATGTGCATTTCAAATTATGAGCATTTAATCCTTTTGAATGGATTGTGGCCTGTGCAATTTGAAAGAAAAACATCTGCAGCAATTAGGGCTTTCATTACTGCGCCTTTCAATAACATGCAGACTCTAAAATTCAAAGCTCAACCGACAGGCATGTTTTTCGCTACTGTCAATCAAATGTTCAGGGGCTCCTCCCAGCTTTCGATTACTGCCGAGCGCCCAGTAATCAAATCAAATCGTTGAGCACAGTTTGGACAACATAGTTGGAAGCTGGGAGGAGCTGCTGAACATTTGATTGATGGTAGCAAAAAACACATTAATTTTTTTGTCGGTTGAGCTTTGAGTCAGTATGTTATTGAAAGGTGCAGTAAGGGCTGGGCACTGAACAAATTGTGAGGATGATTTTGCCTACATGGTTTGACCATCTACAGGAAAGTTTTTCTCATAAAGAAGATCTGTTCAAATCATTTGCCTGCCTGCAAAAACCAGTTGCCCTTTTGCTGAAATTGTTAATGAAACCCCTGAGCTTTGCAACAGGTCCTAATTTTTTCCTTTTGTTTGCAGCCTTCAACCTGAGTGAATAGAGAATTCTGTGAATTGACAGGTCATTCTTGTCAGAGTTCCAGAATCTGTTAACTACTTTTAACACGTAAATGTAATTATTTTAAAGAATAATTTATGAAAATTTAGTTTGCTGATATGTTTAAATGCTTCATTTTTCATCCGGCCATAATTTAATTTGCAGCCAAGCGTTAACTTACAATATACAGTACATATACTTAATTACATTTAAGTACTCTTAAAATCTGCACCCCACAGTTCCATGTTAATTTGGAGAATTTTTTAAATCATAATATTTTGTATGGCTTCAAGCAGTGTTGTTTGGCCTGTTTTATTTTTAATTAATTGTACTGTCATATCAGACAGAAATCCCAATAATTAAGCATCTAGTAACTGTTGTGCAACTGTATATTTGTCCTGTGGCCAAGAGAATTCACTTTCTTGTCATTTTAACAGATGAAAAGAATGCTTCATTTCATTTGTAAAATTTGTTTAAACCTCTGTTTGCTATCTGTATGGATTCTTAAAGTGAATTACTATTTAGAAACATCAGACTTTTGAGTGGAAAGCATTTGAAAACTGGGTTGATGTAAAATGTACTAAGGGTTTACAGGCCTTGTTAGGCCTTGCTAGGCCTTGCTAGGCCTTGCTAGGCCTTGCTAGGCCTTGCTAGGCCTTGCTAGGCCTTGCTTGGCCTTGCTAGGCCTTGCTAGGCCTTGCTGGTCACAGAAGATGTCAAGATGTGGTAAGAACATACATGTATGTACTTGGCTATCGCCTCGTGTGCCACGTTTTTGTTCTTACCACATTTTGACATCATCTGTGATTCACTACAGAACAGATGAACTGCAACATGGAGTCTATTTGTGAAACTGATGAGTGCAATTCATGACTATTATTTTATTGCAACAGGATGTTTTCAAGGTGTCATTTGACTACAATTGACCATATTTTAAAAGAAAATACTACTGATTCAAAAAATATTTTAATTTAGACTATATATGCTCCACAAAATATGCTGATGTAAATACCACTCTAAAGGTTGAGAAAAATTTATTATTGATGTCAATATTGATAGGCCATAAATCTGTTTAATTTCTTAACAAGTGGAAGCTGGCCAAAGCCATTTATGTTACATTTTTTGATTCCTGGAGAGTTGATTATTGATCATTATTATGATGTAACTGATCATAAAAATTAGTTTTTTGCCTCTTTTATCCATGCATGCGTCATTGGGTATCTGCTAGTATCCCAGATCTTTTCTGGCCTTAAACTCTTAAGAAAGAAACTCACTCTGAGAAAGTATTTTTTGATATGCACTCTATATCATTTGCAGTTATCAGTTTTGTTTTCTCATTCAACACTAAGTACTGTACCGCTTAAAATTCTCTTGATTTATATCAAATTATGTCAAACTTGGTGATTTGAAAATCATACCTGGAGAGGGAAGGGAAGGCACAAATTATTTCCATAACAGATAAAATTGTGGGGTTTTTTGTTGTTGTTTTAATTTTCAATATCTTTTAACTTAATATGTGAAATGCCAACTTATGTGGAAGGCATTATGGCCTTAAATGAACTGCTATTTTGGATTATAGATTGAGCAGTTTGGGTTTGAGCCCTAGGTAGGGTCATGAGGTTGTGTTCTGGGGCAATACACTTTACTGGCATGGATTCTCACTTCACCAAAATGCTTGGGTAAATGCTACCAGTTAATACAGAACACTGTTTGTAGAATAGTTTAGCAATAGTTAATTAAAAACTAGTTTAACCTCTTTAGGCTAGAGGTTTCACTCCCTTTACAAGGTGCTATAATTATTTAATATTTAAAACAAAGTCAATTTTGGTCTAACTTGTCATTATGAGAGCAACAACAAAATCAAACAAATAAGACAGTGGCATGATTATTTAACAAGGAGGCAGGTAAATTTGCAATTTGCATTTAAATTTGTTAACAATAGGCCATGTTAATTTTTTTCTTCAGGCTACCTGACTTAACCCTCCAAGCCTCCCTTTAAAAGTGCAAAAAATGTTCATCAAGAAATTCCCAAACCAGCAAACTGAAAGATCATAAAAGTACTTCATGAAAATCTTTGAAAATGATTGCATGTCGACAAGTCATCAAAACTTTGTGGTATCTTAAAGAAGGCCTCTTTAATTGTTGTGCACTTGGTGCACAACCTTTGTGCCACAAGTGCTCTGAGCCTGAACCATCACACTTATAACAAAACAATGCTATTAAATAGCTAGAATATACAACACAATGTGCATAAAAACCGACACAAATTACAGTTGTTGCCAGTCAACTTAACATCCACAAATCCTGTGAACAACCAAGGACTAGGTGTGCTGGCTTATACCCAGCATTTGGATAAAATACTTGAAAGTGTTTGAAAAAAGTTTAAGTGCAGAAATTATATTTTCCTAGGGAACATGTTGTTCTAGGGCTGCCTACTTTGTTAAACCACAATAATTGATAAATTGTTTAAAACAATTTCTAGAACCATCCATTCATTGTACATAATAATACATAACTACCTATTAACTGAGTATAATTTTTTATCATATCCTGACCTTCTTGTCAACAGAATTAAAAAAATTCTGGATCCTACAAAAACAAGAAGATCTTTTAGATCTTATAACCGCGCTTTTAAAATTTAACTGTTTGCTCAGCACTATACCGTTGGAA